TAACTGATTAATATTAAATTTTAGTATAAAATTGAAAATTAAAAATTACCAATTTTAAATTTTAAATTTATTCCGTATTAAGTTTAAAATATAAAATTATTTAACGAAGAAACTGAGGAAAAAATACATATATTTTCTTATATGTTTTGTTTTAATTGAAAGGCTACAAACTCAGAATAAACGATAAAATCTAATATGGATGTAAAGCTTCGTAACAACTTAGATACATTTGAAGTGATGCTATGGACAGGGGAGAATGAAATCTTGCAAAGGAAAATACATACACAATCAGATTATAATACACAAACACGGGTTTGATCGATTTGAACCTTTTAAAACTCTTTATTCTACATTCAACATCATCACTTAATGAGACAACAGACGTGTTGAAACAAAAGAGCTATTTTTGTAGTGATTTTATAATATATTTATGTTATAATTTTCGAATAAATTATATTTGCTCTACTCTGTATTGAGCACTCTTTTAAGAATAGTATTTTTTAATTATTGGAATTTATTCCGTATACACCAATCCTATACTTGTATACATATATATATATATATATATATATATATATATATATATATATATATATATATATATATATATATATGAAGGAATATAGTTTTATGGTTTGCTATATTTATGGGATAAAGTGCTCAGTATCAGTGAGAGAGCGTATGTGAATGTAATAGTGGAAATTGAAGTCAACATTCAGAGGCGATAGACTCAACCAGCAAGCCGTGGTAATCGCCTGGTGATTGTGTCTAGCATGAAACAGTCTCTCCTCTGAGTGTTGACTTCAATATTCACTTTTACATTTATGTAAAAAGGCTAAAATGTGAACCAACCTCGCAACCCGGGTTTCGACCGTGAGGTTTCCTCAGGCAAGTGGAAGGATGTACAAGTCAAGGGAAACTACTCCAATATACCAGAACACGGGAAGTGAGAGGGTAAAAGTATGACGGTGGGGAGAGGCGAGAGAGGGAAGAAGGAAAAAAATGAAAAGTGATGAAACGAGGGGAAAAATTGTAAATGAGGAAAAGAGGGAGAAAATTAATTATTTTACTTCGCACATCCGAGTTCATGAGTACCTAAAAATATTTACTTAAATGTCTGCACCTTGATATAATCTCAGTTCTCTCATTTAGTAAGACACCTTTATCAGGATATGTAACACTGGCCAAATTTTTCTTCCTGGCACAGCCGACAATAATTATCACGAATTCTGCCAGTTTATATATAACAAGAGGAACAGATTGAAACATCAAGTAACCTACCTAAAGTGTTTGTGTAATTGAATGGTAAAAACTAATACCTACAAATGATAGGAAGTTGTGGAGAGTCATGAATACTCATGGCCTTAATGGCCATGATGCATAAAAGAACATTAAATGACTGGTATAGCAGGGAGTGGGAAGAATGGTAGAAAAGGAAGAAAAAGTTTCTGGGAAAGAGCGTGTGATCCAGCGTGATCGACATTTTGAACAAAGCCATCACGTTCAAGCACTCGGCCACTATGACCTGTGACTTCGAGTTGGCACAGCTATTGACGATTCCGTTCTACCCAATTTTCACTCACAAGGCTAGGGTCAAACAGTGGTGTGGGTTTCAGGCACTTTTCAAAGGTGCCTGGCAAATTGACTGTAGTCAGATTCGAACCTGTTTCTCATGGTCACAATGGCCTTTAACACAATGCCCACTCGGCAACATGGCCATTAACTGCCAAATATAATGGTTTAAGAAGTATATTTTTTTTTTAATTTAAAAAAATAAATATAATTTTATAAACTATAATCCCAATATATATATAATAATTGCACTATCATGGCGGTGTATTTTTTGAATTCAATTTATGTAACGTTTAGTCCATATTCAGACTGAAGACTGCATTTTGCATGAAACTTTGAATCGTGCGAACGGTGAAGGATAATATATACACTTTTATTAATCTATCTATCTATCTATCTCTCTATCTCTCTCTCTCTCTATATATATATATATATATATATATATATATATATATATGTACAAGAGAAAGAAATTAAGAGGATTTGAGATAATGATAATTAATTCATAGAAAGATCAACAGAATACAGAAAGCACAAGGCGGCCGTTTCGTCTTATATTTGGGACTCATTAGCAGTGTGCATCCACGACCGAGAATTCAAACCCGAATGTTATCAGGCAAACGTCATACCAACTGTACCAACGGGCCTCGGCGTTAAAGAGGTGGCGAATTAGACTCGATATAGCGCCGCTCGATCACATATTCCGTGGTGGAACTCATCCGAGTTTCTCTTTACCCATAGGACTGTGCCCCCACGAACCAAGACTACCGTCCTGTCGTCCAGTGCTTTCTGCAGTCTGTTGAGGTTTCATCTAGACTCGATGAATTACTTATAATGATCTCAAATCCTCCTAAATCTATTATTGTATATCATTCTTGAACTGGCTTCTAATGCTCTGGATAGGACGAAACGTATATATATATATATATATATATATATATATATATATATATATATATAAAGAAAAGAACAGTAAGATATATAATCCGGTGTTCTTAAAGATATTTTATTTTTACTAAATAGTGCTCAATGTAAATTTACAGAGCATTAATATTATAAATTAATTGATTTAAAATATGTTTTTTCCGCTACACAGTTCTAACCATGTTTCCAAAAATGAAGCTAAAAGCCCAGAATTTAATTTTGCAATTAAATTAAAAGCAAGGTTCCATTTTATCCTCAAGCAATTTTGAGTAACTTTTAAAAATTACTGGGTTTTAAAAGACACAGCCTAACATCACGTTTCATGGTTACAGAATATTCTACTTCAATTGGACAAGGGATGTCTAGGTTTTTTTTATTATATATATATATATATATATATATATATATATATATATATATATATATACCGGGTGTAACATCAAAATTGTACAAATCGTATGGCAGCAAAATTGTCCAATTTTTAGATTAAGCTCTGAAACGTGGTATTTTAGAAATGATTAAATATATCTTACAGGAATTATCCATATATATACCCGGTGTAAAAGCAAAATTGTCCATATCGTGTAACAGCATAATTATCCATCACACAAAATGTTTAATATATCAAAATAACACTAAACTAACGGAGTTTTTTTTTTTTCTAGGTTTTCAGATACGATATTTTTCCATCCAGATATCATTTGTTGTAAGAATCACTGAAAATCTCTTTGACATATGTATCTCAAAAGAGAGCTGGTTAAAAGTGTTTTGCATCAACAGATCAATGGTGAGATGAAAAAAAAATCATTCAGGTCTTCAGTAATGGTACGAATATTTATATTCCGGCTTCCATCTTCAAAGTCTATTCAAGAACCATCAAGAGAACGGTGAATATGTTTTTAAAAAAGGGAACATGAGAGAGGAAAACTGGATCAGATCACAACTGAAAGTGGGATCATCGTTTCAACTTAAAGCTAAAGAGATCAATTAGAAAAGAGCCAACTAAATTCATTAGACGTTTGGCACATGAGAGAAGAGTTTCAGTGATGACAGTCCAAAGATCAATGAAAAAAGACTTGAAAATGAAATCGTACGTGAAACATATGCGGCAACTTGTTACTCCACCGCAGGCGAGAAGTGCGAGACATGAAGCTATTGGAGTAGAAGAGACGGCTACATTTAACAGTTTCGACAGTGAAAAGGTGAGAGCGAGCTTTCGTTAAATATAACGGATATGGAAATTTTAAATTGATTTTCCCAGCATTCCAAACGCCTTCGGCAACTTTCTTAACCATTTCCAAGGGGTTTTGTTTTGCTGTTAGTTTCTCTTTACGTTTTGATTGTTTGAGATCACACACACACACACACACACACACACACACATATATATATATATATGTGTTTGTGTGTGTGTGTGTGTGTATGCGTAAAAAGAAATTCAACACTTAATATATTCAGGCCGGTAAATGTTGTTAATACTGTTTTATTATAAACAGAGCATTTATTTAAATATTTGCATCTATAAAAAAAATGTATAAACACGAAAATTTCTTAAAATAATTGTCCATTTCATAATGTGTGACGACATTTGTTTACATTTGGATACGCATCGAGCAGATATGAATGTACGAGAGAAAATCATGGAAAATTGTAGTTTAAAAACAGTAAAATCGACCGTGCCAACTGAAACGCTCCTCGGTGGCGAAATCGGTAAAAGCACGTCAGGCTATATGACGGTTCCGTATAGGATACAGGTTCGATTCTTGTTGGGGGACGAATATTTTCTATGACAGTTTATCGGACATTCAGGCCGTAAATGTTGTTTAATCTTATCTATAAAAAAGAATGTATAAACATAAAAATGTCTTTATATATATGTGCGTGTCTGTGTATGTCTCTCTATGTATTTTGAGTTCATTTTATTTTTAAAAAATCTTCTGATAGTGTTAACCCCATCCATTACAATTCTCAACCTCGTCCACTGCAGTGTCTTGCTCTATGGTTAAGCAAGGCGATAAAGCCACTAAGACGCAAGGGGCTACTGAGATTGAAAGGGAATTAAAAGATTTTAGAAGAAACCAGAAACCTAATCCTAAACAAAACCTTTACCCCTGTTCAAAAGAACGCAAGGAGTGTAAACTGGGCGATAGGCGAACCTATCTACTCCTATTGGGGGAGGGAAAAATAATTACTTCAAAACGATCTCTACTAATACCAAATATGGTCACCCCTGTGAAATATTAAGCCATACGATTTTGAAAAGCTACCATTCGTAATTCTGGGAATGACCTCGGCTCGAAATCCAACTGTTGGCCCCTGATGGAAGTGAACGACTGTAACGCACCAAGTGAGCGTGGCTCGTACCTGGTTCTAGTTCCTCGCTATATAATGCATAGCGGGAGGAAACAGAAATGTTTTAGTATCATGAAAATGACTGTAAATAATTTAACGAAGAAAGACGAGACAGAACGAAGAGTTACTTTCGTTCCGTTTATTTTTATATTATGCGCAGTACAACTTTCATTTTGTTTTTCTATCGTTCCTTTTTTTATATTTTTTTTCTTTTTCCTGTTTTTACTTCCAACCCCCTTCCTTCATCTTTGACCTCCTCCCCCTCTTACTTCTCCTCTTTATTTCCCACTTTTTTTCCTCCGTCCCTTCGCTCATCCTGTCCTTTGCTTCCTTCTTTAATTTCTAGTCCCACTGCAGTTTTTCTTTTGTAATTGTCGCCTCCCTTACTTCTCCAACTCAACATGTTCTTTAGCTCCTTCTCCTTCTTCCCTGTCGCTGTTATTGTTATCGTCGTCTCATTATTATTTGAAACCATTTGTTATTCTTTTTTTATTCTTCTTTCACCTTCTTTCTTATTTTTCTTTCTTTCTTTCTTTCTTTCTTTCTTTCATTTTCTTTTTTCTTCCTCTTTTTCTTTCTTTCTTTCTTTCTTTCTTCTACTTCTTCCATTTTCTTTTTTCTTCCTCTTTTTCTTTCTTTCTTTCTTTCTTTTTTTCTTTCTTTCTTTCTTCTACTTCTTCTTCCATTTTCTTTTTTCTTCCTCTTTTTCTTTCGTATTTCCTCTTCTTTCTTATTCTTTCTTTCTTCCTCCTTCTTCATCCTTCTTCTTTTTCCTTCTTTCTTCATATTTCTCCTTCTTTCTACTTTCTTACTTCTTTTTCTTTTTTTACTTCTTGCTCTCCTTTTTTCGCTTCCTTTCCATTTTCTTCATCTTCTTCCTTTTATATTTTCCTTCTTTCTCCTTATCCCTTCTTCTTCCTTCTTATTTCTTTTTTTTTTTCCTATTTTCTTCCTCTCCTGCTTTCTCCGTTTTTATTTTCTCTTTCTTTATCTTTCTTCTAATCTTCTACTTTTTCTTCTTTTTTTCTACTTCCTTTTTCTGCTTCTTTCTAATTCTTCTTTCTTCTTATTTTTCCTTCTTTTACCATGCTTCTGTTCTTCTTTCTTCTATTTTTCTTTTTTCTTCTTTCTCTTTTCTTGTTTTTACTTCTTCCTTCAAAATTTTTGTTCTTTTTTTTTATTCTTTTATCATTCTTGTTCTTCGTTCTTCTTTCTTCCATTTATCTTCTTTCTCTTTCTTCTTTATCCTGCTTCTTTCCTTTTTCCCAGTTTCTCTTCTTCTTTCTTTCTCTCTTCTTCTTTTACTAGCATCCTGTTTTTTCTTCTTCTTCTCCTTCTTTTTCTTCACCACTGCATAATGTATTACTCACTTCATTTTTTCTAATATTTTTTCATTTTTTCTTCTTCTTCTTCTTCTTCTTCTTCTTCTTTCCTTTACTCCATTATTTCCAACTGTTGTTCGTATCTTTTTCTTATCAATTAATAATTTTTGTTTTTATTCTTGCTTCCTTCATCTGTTCCTCCCACCCTATTTCACATTTACTCTCTCTTCTTCTTCGTCGTCGTCGGCGTCTTCTTCTTCTTCTTCTTCTTCTTCTTCTTCTTCTTCTTCTTCTTCTTCACAGCTGCCGAATGTATTACTTCATTTTTCCTAACATTTTTTCATTTTATTTCTTCCTTTTTTCTATGTTTTCTTCTTTTTCTTCTTCTTCTTCTATTTCTTCTTCCACCTCCTCTTCTTCTTCCTCCTCCTCCTCCTCCTTTTCTTCTTCTTCTTCTTCTTCTTCACCACTGCCGAATGTATTACTCACTTCAATTTTCCTAACATTTTTCATTTTATTTTTTCCTTTATCTTCTTCTTTTCTCTTCTTTTTTTCTTCTTCTTCTTTATCTTCCTCCTCCTCCTTTCTTCTTCTTCTTCTTATTCACAACTGCCGAATGTATTACTTCATTTTTTCTAACATTTTTTCATTTTATTTCTTCCTTTTTTCCTCTTTTTCGTTTTCTTCTTTTTCTTTTTCTACTTCTTCTTCCTCCTCCTCCTCTTCTTCTTCTTTTCTCCCCTACTGCTTAACTTCATTTTTATAACATTTTTAATTTTATTTCTTCTTCTTCTTCTTCTTCTTCTTCTTCTTCTTCTTCTTCTTCTTCTTCATCTTTCCACGTCTCCGATTTTCCTTCTTATTCCTTCTTCTTCTTCTTCTTCTTCTTCTTCTTCTTCTTCTTCTTCTTCACTCCATTATTTCCAACTGTTCTTCGTAACCACGACGTGTTTCATTCATTACATTATTCCATCTTTTTCTTATCATTTAAATTTTTTTTTGTTTTTTTATTTTATTCTGGCTTCCTTCATCTGTTCGCCCCCTCCCTAATTCACTTTTAGTCTCTCCTCTTTCCTCACCATTTCAAACTGACCCTTTTTTTTTTTCACTCTCTCACAACCTACTCCTTTCTCCATTAGAGAACGATAAGCCCCTTTACACCCATCTCTTCAACCCACGGCAGGTGGACTCGCCATATTTGTTATTTCAACTTTATATTTTCTTGTTCCCACCTTTCTTCTTTGACCGCAGTCCGACATAAATCTTAAGCGAAACTTCAGCTTAAAACCTAATCAACGATTCGACGTAAACCTTTATTTAAAATCCTTTGTACTCAGGCTAATTATCTAAGCGTTAGAGTTAACATTGCTCTCATTCTTTTCTCTCACTCCTCCATATATATATATATATATATATATATATATATATATATATATATATATAAAAAAGAAGAGAGAAAACGAAAACTTTTTTTTAAATATATATTATGCTTTATTTTAAGTTTCGAGCCGCCCTCTGGACTTCGTGCCATTTCAGAACTAATTTACATATCCGAAAATGAATGGAACTAATATATATATATATATATATATATATATATATATATATATATATTTAAGACTATATATATATATATATATATATATATATATATATATATATATATATATATATATATACAAATGAAATGAGAATAGATCCAACATTCGAACATCTGTAAAACACCATTTAAGTAGCGGTTATACATATGTTTTATATATTATATTTATATATATATATATATATATATATATATATATATATATATATATATATATATATATATATATAAAAAAGAGAGAAACCGAAAAATTTTTAAAATATATATTATGCTTTATTTTAAGTTTCCTGAGCCAACCTATGGACTTCGTGCCTTTTTCAGAACTAATTTATATATCCTAAAATGAATGGTACTAATTATATATATATATATATATATATATATATATATATATATATATATATATATATATATATATAGTATTTTATATATATATATATATATATATATATATATATATATATATAGGTATATATATAAAAGTATATATAATATATAAATATATATATATATATATATATACACAAATGAAATAAGAATGAATCAAACATTCGAACATGTGTAAAACAGCATTTTAAGTAGCGTTTTCACATATGTTTATAAATCTCATAATAAATACATACACACACACACACACATATATATATATATATACATTTATATATATATATATATATATATATATATATATATATATTCAAACATATATTGTTAAATATAACAGACAATGAATGTCTAGTATGTTTGATCATGTGTTTTCTAAAAATGTTGGTTCTTGCGTAATCCACCATGCCGAAGGTATTCATAGGGATGGCATATTCTAAATTGGAGGTAACACATTTTCTAGAAATTGAACGTTATCAGCTAATGGGCTAATTAGTTTTCATTAAAGTCATTATGGAACTCAATAATTATTAAATCAGTCGGATTTCGATCCGTACTTGAGGCAATTGAATGTCTAGCCACACTGATGAGATGTGAAACAGTTTGTATATAGATAGATGTATTTGGATATGTTTTTTTTTATGCTGTTCCTCGATCTAAGTTTTTGGCTCACATAAGCCATCATCAGAGTGGTTATGTGGACATTACAACAGGGGTGTTCGCCATCAAAGATGACACCCTATTATGTTTGCACAGAAATTTGGTATGCGATTAAATTGGTCGCGGAATAGCAGACATAGGACCCATAATAAAATATCCAAATGTTGGACATGTTTTGTCTTTATTTTCTCCCAAAACTAAAGCCACTATACGAGAAGCTTAGAACGGCTCATGATCAAACATAATAGACATTCCTTGTCTGTTATATTTAAGAATATATGTTTGAATATATATATATATATATATATATATATATATATATATATATATATATATATATATAGGCATTTAATCAACACGCCTGGCTGCATACACAATTCCCGAAAATCCTTGTTGAAAACACAACTATAATTAAACATGTAAACAAACAAAAACTAAACATTCTCGAATCTATATACATAATACAGTTAAAACCTAACCTGAACAACATAAACAATGAAATCTCCACAAATATTCTTAAATGCCTATAATTGGTAACAGAAGCCATTGGTTTGTACCAACGGTTTCCCATACTTAATACTTCTCGTTTTCACTCTCGCGTGGTCATGTGTGACGTCATGAGCTGCGTTGTGATTTTCGCTTCCAGCGTCTTATATGTAAACAACAACAGTCTATCATCATTGTTTTATCCGTGTATTGCTTAACATATTGTAATGTAATTTGTCATCTTTCATAATGGCTTATGTAAGCCGAAAGCTTAGATAGGATTGAAAAAATATGTATCAATATTGTGAATTTCTTTTTTCTTTTTAATGATAATGTTATTAAGCTTATCAGACGGTATGAAAAGAATTTACATAAAATAAATAGACAAAACTTGTCTATTGTTATAATGGAACAACCTAACATACGCCAACTGTGATATATATATATATATATATATATATATATATATATATATATATGCACAGAATAAAGAAATACATTGACATAGATAGATAGTTAGATAGATAATGAACTGACAGAGGCAGATAGACAGATAATATACTGATAGAGATGGATAATATACTGATATATATATATATATATATATATATATATATATATATATATATATATATATATATATATATATATATATTATCTTATATGCACGAGTTTGCTTGGAAATATTCCATGTAAACAGAAACAGACTATCATCACTGTTTTGTCCGTGTATTGCTTAATATATTGTAATGTAATTGTCATCTTTGATAATGGCTTACGTAAGCCGAAAGCTTTAATAGAATTAAAAAATATGTATCAATATTGTGATTTCTTCTTTTAATGTTATTAAACTTATCGAACGATATGAAAATAATTTATATAAAATAAATGAACAACACTTGCCTAAATTTTTTAATGAATCATGCATCAATATATATATATATATATATATATATATATATATATATAGGATGCGAAAAATGTATAAAATTATAACAGTAAATATTAAAATTGTTATAATTTCTTACTCTGCGGTTACTAATATTGAATGAAAAAGGCGTTTAGTGTGATATTAGTTTGAAATTCCATTGTTAAATAAAAGTATATTTTTCACTACGTTTAATGAGAATATCTATTCTTTCTGAAAAATTAAGTGTTAATCGTTGAATATATATAGAAATTGTTAAAATTATTAAATTCATTTCAATGATATCATGTTAATAATTTGAATATGTTGAAAGTTTTGTCGTTTTTTTTTCTTCTGCTGTTCTGTATATCAGGGTCTCTTTCTTTTACACAACTTCCGAATACCTTTCATTTTATTTATTTATTATTGCTTTTGAAATTTCCACTGTATTACAAGTACTAGATTGGCGGCAAGTTATCATTATTTTACAGTTAAAAATCATAGATGGAACCGTAAGTTCTATGCTAACAGTTTCTTCTATCGAACTTCTCATCTTGTGGAACTCTCTTCCGACTTCTGACTTCCGAGTCAAATTCGATTGTTAAAAATTTATATGTAATGTCAATCGTTATCTCCTGCCTTCTTAATTCGTTTTTCTTTTATTGTCCTCTCTCCTTAACAGTATTTTTCTTTTTCTCATAATCTCTACCACTTAGTAACCCCCTTTTGTCTTAGTGGCTTTATTGCCTTGCTTGGAGTGAAGTCATAAAATGTTGTGAATAATTCAACTCCTCGTACAAACTCCAAATAATTATCTAGAATATACTCCCAAATATTTTTTTTTACCACCATATTTGCAATTTATTTCTAATATTTCTCTGTCTTTGTGATGTCAGTGAATACTGGCTTCAAAGATGGAAGCAGGAACAAAGAAAACTTCTGAACTTTGTCCTCCTCATACGGCTGGATACCCACTGCTTCAAACAACATGGAATTAAACATTTTTATGGGGTGGCAAAAAGCTGAACCACAAGCAGGAACAAAAAAACATTTTAACAAGTCATAAAAGATGGAAAGATGCTTTCGATAAAAAATCAACAGGGCAAAAAATATTAAAAATCAGGGACAATTCTTTAGAAGCAAAGAAAAGTGTACTGAACTGTCATGTAATATCGGTCCTCCTATACGACTGGACAATATCTTCACAGATGAAAAAGAGGCTTCAAGCAACAGGAGCAAAGAAATATGTACTGATATAGATCTTTGTACATAGCAGTGAATACTGGACAATCTCTTCAAAGATGAAGAAGAGACTTGAAATAGCAGGAACAAAGAAAAGTGTACTGAACTGTTATGTAATATCAGTCCTCCTATACAACAGTGAAATATTTTGAGACAATGAATCCTCAGAGATGGAACAAAAAAACTGTGATGAAGCAACAGGAAAGCTGGATGTCCTCAACAAAAAAAGACTACTGAGCTGTTATGTAATACCAGTTCTCCTATACGGCTGGATATCTTTACAGATAAAAGAGACTTCAAGTAATAGGATGAAACAAAAGTGTACTAAACTATTATGTAATATAGTTCTTTGCACATAGCAATGAATACTAGACGATCCCTTCAAAGATGAAGAAGAGACTTGAAGCAACAGGAACAAAGAAAAGTGTACTGAACTGTTATGTAATATCGGTCCTCCTATACGACTGGACAATATCTTCACAGATGAAAAAGAGGCTTCAAGCAACAGGAACAAAGAAAATGTACTGATAGATATGGATGTGATGTTCATGATGACGGTCGTCTTCGAGTATAGAATCCAGAGGTTAGCAGTGAATATTTCGAAGATAGTAGGAAAGCGTTGTTCAGGTTAGCAGTGGATATTTTGGTAAAAATAGCAGAGCGTAGTTCGTCCTTCTTTTTCTCTTCGCCTGACAAGTTGGTACTGGACATTCCGATAGAGTAAACAAAATGGCCGCCTTTATACACGACGGATTGAATGTTCTACGTCTTCTGATTGGTTCACCTTCTATTGGTGGACTATAAAGTGAGTCAAGTCATTTGGGCTAACTCACTAGTACATAGACATACACAAAAACTGC